TCATTTTCTATTTCTCAGCCTTCATTTACTTTCCATCCAATTTCATCAACCGGCTTGATTGGGCCGCGTGCGCCCAGTCGTATATCACACCGGGAATAAGCATGTGAGAAAAGCGCCGGCAGGAAAAAAATCTGGTTTTGCTGCCAAAGCTTTAGTGTCAATCTGAATTGCTGCAGTGCTTCAGTGACTTTGCATAATCACCTCAGCCCCGAAGAGAATCTCCGCCCCCCACACATCTCCTATTTTTTCAGATCGCAGCAGAGGCACTGAATGTTCAGTCAGAGATGTTGGCGATTTCAACTTATCGCAATGTGGTTCAATAAGATCATTGAAAAGTGCTGAGTCATTGGAGGCGTCTGTCTCAATCGTCACATAGAGTTGTAGAAGGCTGAGAACCGTCTTCTCTTGACTTTAATGGGATCCTTGGGTCTAAAATGTTTCCCGTCTCTCACGTAATCAGGGACCCCCCCTCTTGTGTGGGTCCAATGATCAGCCGGCCCTAGGACCAGTCGCCACGGAAAGCCGTAACACTCTTGTCAGCGTCTGGCGTGTTTGCTTTACCCTCCCCCCCCCCCCCCCCCCCCCCTCCAACCTCCCTCAGCGTAACAAGATGAGGTCTGACTATGCAAGATTACATACTAAGCGCGCACTCTTAATCTTGCAGAAACACATGCATTCTCTCTCTCTCTCCGGGGGGGGTGCACATTTCAGCTGAATTGCGTGTAATAGTGGTACTCAAGAGCATGCTGGTTCTTCCATGTTACCTGCTGTATCCTGCAGCGTGAGCTTACTGGTACCCCCCTCTCTGACCTCCATTTATCATCTCAGGCTCACACTGTGCACACCCTTATTCTTTTTTTTTATTTCTCTAATTGATCCATCAATATAGTTCCCACACACTCGGCCTGCCTTCTTGCTGCTACCTGTAGATTGCGATGCGACAAATATTTCCCCCTGTGTCACGGCGTTTAGGTCCCAGTCGGCGATTTAAGCGGGTAGTGGAGACGATTCAGAGCCCAGTTGTTAAGCACACACGACCAGCCCAGGAGTCCAACAGCTGTCTGGTGAGTAGGACCCCTTTGACATATCTCAAACCCTCATACAGAACCTCTCCACACTTACCCCCACTGCCTCATCCGCCCACACCCCCCTACCCCCCCCGGACAAACCACTCCTGCATTGCTCTCCCCGCGTGCTTGAAGCCGCTCCCTGGCTCTCCAAGCGGCTTCCTTTGCATGTCGCAAAAAAAGGGTGGGAGTTTCTCCCGAGCACCGAGTGCAGGTCAAACGTTGTCGTCCCGTTGCCCCGGCAGTGAAGAGTGGAGGTAGGGTAAGCTGATTTGCATTCTGTCGCTCCTACTTCCAAGACTGATCGTGGGAGCTTGTCACCATGGCAACACCACTGCACCTCAACGCACTCCCACAATGCATCGCGCCGCCCTGTGACACAACACCTGCCTTCTCTCTCGCTCTTTCTCTCTCTCTCTGGGTGCTTGTACCAATAGGACCCCATCCCCCTGCCCAAAAGACCTTGTGAGTGGCTGCCTCAGCCCCCACCTAACCGTTCGTCCTGGGAACTTGACGTTTTTTAAATATTCCTCCCACCTTCTCATGAGTTGCCGGTTGGATGTTGATTCACCGGAGCCGTAAGCGTCCATTCGCTCCCCACTATGTCTCTTTCACTCAACGCGTAGACTTGATGGCGAAAAAGAAAAAGAAGAATTCAATCGAGATCCCACTCCTCCTCATCTGCTCTTACCATGTCCTTCCCTGTGAACCCCCCCTCTGTTCGAGTCTCAGTCCGTCATCATCTTGACAGCAGCGCCGCTTGCTGGTCACGTAGGGAAACACCACCCGCCTGAAATGCACCGTTTTCATCCGGGGACGGTGTGCTGTTTTCCTTGGATCTCAATTTCATCTCACGCGTGAATCATGACCTTGGTTTTTCTATGTTTGTGTCTTTATCCCTTTCAACCCCTCGGCAATTCCATATAGGACTTTTTTGAACAAATACGTGGCCATCACACAGCTTTTACTGGGTGTTACAAAAGTGAGCTGTAGTTCTGTGTCTTTTTAGGCAATATTCATCTCACTGACGCTCAGAAGTGAACAGCAGTCATTACAGCTGTTGTGATTACCTCACTGAGGTTGCCAATTAATTTAGATGTTTCCTGTTTTATGTTATGAACAGACTGAAGGTTGAAATTAGAGTCAATTATATCACATTAGTATCAAATTACTGCTGTGGGTTTCTTTCCAGCAGATGAGGAGGAGGGTAATATGTCAAACATTTATCACCAGAGGATAATGAGGATACGAGAAAAATAAATAATGACTCTCGGAACGGACGAACAGTATAATACTACTTGTTTTTGACCAAGGTCAGTCTTGTCTTAATTTCCGGTCTTTAAACTACCGCTCGGCGTAATATAAATGTGAAAACAGGTCAAAGTGTGCTTATCGGTAATTGAAAGATTCCCTTCTTTGTGACCTCCTCACGCGTTTCGCCGCGACCGGATCGCAGGCTCTTTGCATGAAGTCACTTACTGTAATTAAGAACAGAAATGGCTTTGCACACCGATGCGTGTCAAACAAAAGGTCTCATCAAGTCTTTGGTCATCATGTCTCCTAATCACCATTAACGGAAGCACACCTGGGAGCTTAAAAAGACAATAGGTGCACACAACAAAAGGAGTGTAGACGAATGTGGGCCGCGTGCTGAAGGACGACAGAGCAGAAGCGTTCATTTAGAGGGCACCGTCTCCATTTCAGGGAGCAGCTGAGATCATTAAGAGTTTTGCTGCCATTTTTTGGAAATGTGCAGATCAGGCTGGAGTGAAGCGAGTGAATGGGGGGAGAAGCCTTCACACATGAGAAACTAAGAGGGAACATTTGGGAAGAAGTTGGCGGCAACCATTTTCCAGCAGGACAATGGATCCGGCAGAGCCAAGTGCTGCACGCGGACCCGCAGAATTCACTCGTTCACCATCCGGTGCAGGACTGCAGGCAGTTTCAACACTGGCAGCAGGTGCACGTTGTCAGGCTGAGAAATGCCACTTCCCACCGGTGTGCGAGCGTGTGCGTTTTGTCGCCTGTGCAGCATACCGGCATACTGATGCTGTCGCGGCCCAAACGACTCCATCGTGCACGTGGATCTGTGGCTACCTTTTCACAGTCATGTTGGTGGCAAATAGTTTCTAAAGTTGCCCCGTGCAAAACTGCATTAACAGAAATGATAGAGTGACTGCTCCATTATCGCATAATTTTCATGAATACTGTGATGCACGCAGATAAACACCAACACGCAAAAACACGAGCACAGTAAGTGTGCGTATAGGAGTTGGAAAATAGGATTGGATGTGAACTTGTGTCATTTAGCATATTCGCCCATTTTATTCAGCCCACAGCATGAGCTGGACTTTTTCTTTCTTCAAAGAGTTGGCGCAATGATAATGCCGTCAACCGGCGTGTTTGATGCCTTTGTCCGGGTCTAATCGTTAGCAATGGTTCAAAGCGGTGAACTGAAGTGTGGAAATGTGTTGATCAAAGGTTCTCGCCTTCCACCGCGCAGATTTCAGTCCAAACATTACCGCGTCGTCCTTCGCTTACAATAGCCACGAGACAGACGGCCTCCGTGATCTGCACTCTGCAGAGGGTTCAAGTGGACGTTCAGTTCTCTAATGGAGCCTTTCAAAGACAATTAGGTTGCAGCAAAAGGAGAGGAGACGGCTCATTTATTACCCTTCAAGGGCAACGTGGTCATGAGCTGGAGGCGCTATCATCGTTCACCTGCCATCATCTGC